GCAAACTACATAGTAAAAAAAATTGTGTATTTGCGTTGGAAACGTGTCCACTCACGTTCTGTGTTAACACGTTTGTGTTGAATTTTTTAACATATTCGAGTGTTAATTTAACATAAGGTGATTATATTATTGTGTACGTGAATAAATGATATAAAAAGGTTGTGATTTCAAACGTAAATTCTAAGATAATTGAATAAAATGTGTGTTGATTTAACATATTATAAATGTTAATGTTGCACAGAAAAAAATATGCTTCCACGGTTTGTTTACAAACTGTGTCAGTATTAGCATTTTTGTGTTTATCTACTTAAATAATATTTATGTTACCTTCTAATATATTCATTGCGTTAAATTAACACATAAATTTGAATGGATCTTTGAATGGAAATTTGAGACATGTGAAATGTGTTAAATTTAACACAATTTTAATAATAAATTTTTCAACAGTGTACAAATGGACGTATCGAGAATTGTGTTTGGGGGGAGGAGAAATTTTTCAGCAATTCTATTATTACATAAACAGAATTTTTTGCATTAATAAATTGCTTTTTTTGGATATTTTAGAACTTAGAATGTCTTATTCTCGATTTTAATTTTGAATAAGAAAAATATTAGGTTTTGTTAATCATAACTTTTGCTTTTTTTCCTGACGAAAATATAGATAAAATACAGTTATTAAAAACATTATATACAATTGTGGAGTATTCATTAATATCACTTTATATTTTGGTTTTCAGTTCGAAACATATTTTCTTTATTTATCGGACATTATCAAAGTTTTAACTATTAGAAGTTTTGGAAATTACATGATCGCAATAAGGGAAAAATAACTTTATTGACAACAAAAAATTTACTCAGTCAAAAATAAAATTATTTTTTATTACTTTTTTTATAATTTACTTTTTTATCATTAAAAATGAAAAAGTAAATAAAAAAATTGCAGGGGGGTTGAACTTCTTCCTGGATACGTTCATGACTGCGAATATCACTAAACCCGATTTAAAAAAAGGATGTCATTATAAACGTAGTCTTTATCAAATCTTATCAGATGTCGAGAGAGAAAAAAAAATGAATAATATATTTAAAAAAAAATCTTTTCTCTTAATACATATTGTATTATAATAATTCGAATCTTTGATAATATATGTAGCACTATTTTTATCGAAATTACAAATCGTTCCGTTATATTTTAAAAATCGCTGATATTGTATTCGTCGTAATTAAAAACGATAAGAAGTTTTCGAAATTAAATGAATATCTTTCTTTCCGGAAAAATCTAGTATTCACAAAATAAAATCGTACGGTTCTAACTCGATAACGATAAATGGCCGTAACCGTTAACCGGATACGTTAGAGTGATTGTCGCGGCTTGACAGATCACGCCAGGCTGAAATTCGTCATCTGGAATGGGACGCGACTTGGAAAACGATCAGTGAATAGGCAAACTGCTGTCAAAGTTCTGGGTAGCGACTCGGCTCGACTGCCGGCGGGACGCGGTTTAACTGGAAGTTGGCTCGAAGTGCAAATTAAGTTTAGCGGCCGTCCAGTTTGTAGCGTCCACTTTGCGTAACTCGGTCTAGTCGGTAATGTAACTTCATCGATGTGTTCCGCTAGAGCAAGTGCCAGTACAATCAGTCTGTCCCCCTCATCTTCCCCCTCAAGTCTCTTTCCCTGCAGTATACCCGGTGTCTCTTTCTGCCTATCGTTTGCGCTTGTTTTCTTCATTATGCTTTTCTCCTTTTTCAGAATTTTTTCTTTCTTCACGTCGTTCCTTTTGTCAAAATTATCTCGTAGGATTTCTCTCAGGAAATAATTATATATATATATATCGCTTATTTATTACAACATAACTCAAAAAATTAAGTTTTCCAGAAAATGAGTTTCAATGTTGTGAATCATAAAAATATTATACTATTAATGTTAAAATATAACTTTGATATAATAATTGATTATAGTAAAATTAATGTGTACGTTCTTTCGATGCCTATGTTCTCTCTTATTTTTTTATGATTCCGTACTTTTTCTGCAAGCAATTCAAAATGACAACTTTTGAGTTATGTCGTTGTTATAACGAGGGAACGATATAGCATCAGGGATATAATATTTTCTTTCGTTTACTATCTACTCCTTTATTAAAATTTTTCAGAAGTTTCACAGGATTTTTCGGTGCAAAAGATTGTTGTTCAGAACTGTCCCCCTTTTCCCCTTTTCTCATCGAGAATAGCCACGCATAAATCTAAAAATTTCCTCGTAACATTTTATAGCGATTTAGCATGGCACGCCTTTCGCCAATCGAGACGCGATCGGAAGTCGACGAGGGGGCGAAAAAGGAAGATAAAAAAAATGTATATATAGATCGTGCGCGCCCGCAGTGGGAGGAATCAAATTTTTACTTACAGGGGTGAGTCGGGGCGAAGGGATACTCCAGGGATGGCGGTAATCGCGGCGCTGGGAGGCCCGGGGGGCAGTGGTAGCAGAACATGCCTCCGGCCCTGGCCACGCCGCCCCCCGGCCCGCCGGCCCCTCCCGCGCCAACACCCGGCACCTGCGGTTGACTCGACGGCTGTTGTTGCTGTTGCTGCTGTTGCTGGTGGTGGTTATTGTTCGGCTGGTGGGCGTGGACCGCGCCAATCTGCAACCACACGTCAGTGTCAGTTGATTTCATGATCTCTTCCGCGGTGAAAAAAAAAGAGAGAGAGAAAGATTGCTACGATCAAACTTTTTTTCACAATTGTAGGGCTTTTACGTCGTAAAAATTATGCTTTTAAGGTGGATATGTGCTTTGAGATAAGTATCTTTTGCTTCGTTTTAATTAATTACGTAATTGACAGTGAGAGGAAAATGTTTCGTATTTATTTATGATTGCCTGATAAAATAATTATCTTGTTAGAAGCTCCATTTTTATTATGCTGTAATGTTAAAAATATTAATAATTATATTTACAGTTTGAACATACCAAAAACGAAATACAGTCATGGTCTGTACATATTTTTATATTTATTTGGAATTCTTTTACCTGTCCATCGTTACTTATTTGTTACCAACATAAATAAGTTTAAAAGGTTCTTGAAACAATTTATGAATTAATGAATGTTAATGAATTATAAATCAATTTTTATAGTAAAACTTTAAATAATGATTAATAAGGTGCCTAATATTTTTAACCTTAAGGCTGTATATAGTTGGCACCAAAAATAATTATCAATTAGAGTATAATAATAAAATACTATAAAAATAGAGATACTAATCTATTATTTTACCATGCAATTATTGTCATGAGTACAAAGCACTTATCTCGATGCGTCAAGGTTAGATACTCTACGAGTACCTTCCACAGTTATTAAGGTATAACTATTTGAAGGGAAAAAAAATCAGTAATTTATAATTTATGTCGTCGACAAATAAGATCTCTATCGTGTCGCGATTGCGAAAAATTCGTGACAAACTTTCGTGAAATTAAATAATAGATATATCTCTAATCGCCTTATGGCATGACCAACCCTCCATCCGGGTCAGATTTTTCTGGACCCGTTGTTGTCCATACACACTGGGATATCGCGTATTGGCCTTTGGAAAACGGAGCATCGAAGCCACTTCCGATTTCGCCGTGCAACGCGCGGATTTTCGAAAGCGGGGTGAAACATGATTAAGAGGGAGCGCGACAGTGGCGTGCTGCAGCGGGGTGGGCGGTTATACAAGGGAGTGCGGAGGGGAATTGGAGAGGGCGAGGACGCGGAGGGGAACGGATGGGTGGCCGATTACGCCAATCCCCATTAGAGGGATTGTAAACTCGCGTAAATAAATAATGTATGTATCGGCGAGAGAGGAGCTGGTGCACGCGGGATGTGAGAGAGAGAGAGAGAGAGAGAGAGAGAGAGAGAAAGCGCGAGCGAGCGAGAGAGCGGCGCGACGCGTAGAGGGCTCTTTGCCTAAGCAGGCATCGGTCGTGGAACTTAATAAACGGCGGAGTTATCAATTTATAATGGGTCGGCATGTCGCGCATGCGCGTGCCTACGGGGCCCCCGCCGTTTCTCTCTCGTTATATAACGGCGTGCACGCGAGTGGCTTTAGAGAACCGGTGTACACTAACTATACCCCTTCGGTCCCCCTCATCACCAGCGGCCACCTACCTCCCCCTCCCCCCCCC